ATGATGACCTACATTCTTGGTGCACATATGAAAGGTTTTTTAGTAGAGTTACTCATCTTTGTCTCCTAATAAATAGGCATTTAACCTTCCATTTGATGACAAAGTCAAATGGAAATTGGGATTTCCAGGGCAGAGGGAGAATGAGTTATCATGAACCAGAAGGCAGGAGACGGGATGTGGGAACATCAAGATGTGGGATAGATAATCTAGGTGTGGAGTGAACCTCATTCACACTGGCCTGTCCTGGGCGAGGTCTCAGGTATACTGTGCTCAGAGTTGAGCTTGGCTCTAGTTCCTTGAGAGAATTATTGATTGAGCCTTCTGAAAGGTTGGTGTAATTCCACCCGACCCATTTCTTTTTAGTCTCTCCTATTGTTCTGAGATTTTATTCTTTGTATGGCTCCATCTTGGGATGTGGAAGGGATGGTTGTTGCTTGGGAGCGGAGGTGGCAGAGGGAGTCCTGTGGTATTGAACTCTTGCCCACCTGGATCCCACAGAACCATGCTATGTACATTTGTCTTCCAGGAGAGATGGAATTTCCAGGTCCTTCAAATGGGTTTAGTTCAGCACAGTGGCACTTTGATGCGCAGAGAGTGATTTTGGAAATACTTTATCCTGTCTCACTACTGTGTTAATCAGTGGAGCAATCAGACCTCAGTTAATTGATGTCTTAATCCTGGGTTTAATACCCAGAGGCAGTTTTGTGACCTGTGAATATTTAAGGGCCAAAAAGATTGTGCAAATAAATCTCTGCCTAATACAGTTTTTGTCATTTTTACCCAGTAGCAGGAAACTCTGGGCACAGGGTGGGGCAGGAGCCTTCACTCTCTCAACTTCCCTGTGTGGAGGTGGCCATCTTTCTGTTTTGAGTGCAGTGATGCTCCCAGGCATGGCCATGAACCCATGATTTGGCATGAAGCCCAGGGGTGCCCCTGGCTCCCAGCCTATACCGGGCACCTCCTTCCTATCTGGAAAGCCTCAGCCGCCTTCTTCCCCAGCTTCTTATGGGACATCTGTGTTGTCCTGTCCTGAGCTGTGGTCCTCTACTGTATCCTGGAGGAGGTGCCCTGGTCTTCTCATGGGGATATCAGCCTTATGAATCCTTGTATTTCCAACAGCCACTCCTCACCTCTGTGGACACACAAGGCTGGGACAGCATCCCTCTCTCAGGGATGGTGGGTCTACAGAACCTGGGAATCCTCCTTTCTCAGTCCTGTTTACTCAGGAGTGGCAGAATTAGCTTCATCAGATGGATCGGAACCAGGCAGTGTGCTGGGCAGTCTTATTTCTGCAGCAATCTTAACAGTGTCTGGGGCTTGTGTCTAAGAGATAACTGGGCTAGGAATGGTTCCTCTCTCCCTGGCGCCTGGGTGAGACTGCGGGCCCAGAGCCCCCAATGGATAATTGGTTAAGCCAGCACACACAGACGTCTGTTTGAGCTGGGATTAAGTTGGGCCGGCCCAAAGAACAACCGGGCCAGTTTTACCAGAGGACTGCCTTTGTGGAATAATTTGCCTGGGTTCTATTTGAATTCTTTTTCTTTTTAAAAGGAGACCCAAGGGCATGGGGGAGAAAGACCTGGGTAAACCGGCCAGAGGCCCAGTGTGTCACCTTTCCCAAAGTTAAATCACAAAAGAAAACAGGACTCCACCTCAAAGGCTGAAAACACATCATTGTGCTCAAGATCAGGTGTGGTGTGGGTCAAGGCTTCTTTCTCCTTGGGCTGGCGATATGCCTTCCTCTCATCTGCAGGAGGATGGAAGGAGGCAGTGGGGAGCCTGGGAGTGTGGGCTCCCGGGGGCTCTTTCAAGTCCCCTGCTGCCTCTTCTAGCCTTCATGCAGAGTTTGGGCTGCAGAGGCCCCCGGAGGCAGTACCTATGCTGCCTGGCCTGCGAGCTGCTGCTGGCCTGGGAGCTGTGCAGGATTCCACCTGACCTGATGAACTCCACTGAGGCCTTTAACTCTCCTTGATGGAGAGTTTCCAGCTGGGGTGCAAAGTCTGTATAGTGTGCCTGCTCTGGGCTACCGTGTTCTGGCACTGTGGGACCTTGCCCTTAGGGACTTTAGCCTTTTGGAAGAGACTTTAAAGAAATTAGAAGTGTGAGCGCTTTCTGAGGATTCCTATAGACTGCCCAGGGAGCCCAGAGAAGGGATTTAGCCTACAGTCAGGGTGGAGGAGACCCTCCCCACCTTGGGAAAGGAGTATTTCCAGGGGGAGCTGGAGGCAACTTAGCTGAAAGGGCAAGAGCAAGGTCCAGGCAGAGGAGGGAGGAGGCTGGAGACAGAGCAGTGGCGAGTGTTGGGAGCAGAAGGAGGGCCTGGAGAGCTTCAGGAGTCATGGCGTGGAGCTTTACCTTCATCCTGGGGACAACTAGAGGCCACTGAAAGATTGTCAGCAAGAGAAAGCTCGAGAAGATTTGCGTTTCCTCAGCATCCCCAGATGCTGTCTGGGAGCAGGCAGGGCCAGAGGCCGTCAGAGTGAGGTCCAGGTAAAGAGAAAGGGAGAATGGCAGCCCTTGGTCCTGGGTCAGATGTGGGGAGCCATGGATGGGCCAGAGGGAGGTGTCTGGGATGACATCCATGGCCGTTCAGCAGCAGGAGAATCATGGAGCTGGGACACAGTGGAAGTTGTCTCATGCAGGGCTCCAAGTACCAGGGGACTTCCAAGCTTTGAGGAGCAGGTGCAGAAGGCAAAGTGCAGAGGGAGGGAGAGAACAGGCCAAGTGGGCACCTGGGAGCCCTGTGATCTGGGCGGGGTGAGAGGAGGGTTGGCAGAGTGGCTGGGGCTGAAGATGGGAGGGAAGGAGGCGAGGTGGGAAATGAGAAAGGCTTGTCAGGAGGAGGGGGAGACAGGAGCCAGGAGGGGGAGCCAGGAGCCAGGAGGGGAGGGGTTTTCAGTGGAGCTGCTAGTTAAGAGGGGCAGGTGGTGGTGGGGCTTGGAGAAGGAGAGATGGGGAGGGAGGGAACGGGTATGCACATGCGTGTGTGTGCGCGCGCGCGCGCACACATGCACGCATGCACCTGTGCCTCTGCCTGCCTGCCTGCCTGTCCCTGTCTCATGAGGAGGCCTCACTTCCCTCACAAGGGGAAGGAGACGATTTGTGGAGAGGGGGAAAGTCCTTAGTTCAAGGTGGAGTGGAGGCAGGGTTCATCATCTCCTGAGCAGGAGCCTGTGCATGGAGAGGGGCTGGAGGAGTAGAGAAGGTAGAGGAGTTGGGAGGAGGCTTCCTGCATGCTATGTAGCTGGGGGCCATGTGGGAGTCAGGTGTGGTGGCTGCCTGGGAGCTTGAGGGCTGTCTGCCCAGCCGTGCACTTCCTGGCAGCCATGGCTCTGCAGCCCTAGAGCAGGCATGGAGTGGGCTGGTTGGGCCCAGGAGAGGGCAGTGTTGGCAGGAGTGGTGGTTAGAGGGATGGGCCCACCACCCAGCCAAGGAGAGGGCCAGAGGGCCAGAGGTGGGCATGGCCTGGGCCTGGTTCCATCCATGTTGTCACTCTGGCCATCACTATCTTTGATAAAGGTCCTCTCCCTGTGGAGGGTGCAGTAAGGTTACCCTGTAAGTGGATTTGGATCTTAAGAACCCAAGCTGCTCATTGAGTCCTATACATTTGAATCCTATATGCCTATCTGTACCCTCCTGCTCTAGGGAATAGGGACCAGGATTCTGATCCCCAGGTGGGACAGCAGCTAGCACCCTGCCCTAGAATCAGGCTGCGTTCTGATGACGGAGAGCACACTGCCAGGCTGTGGGTCTGCCGCCTCAGGAAAGGGTGTTCCTTTTGTGAAAGTCCCTCTGGGCCTGTGTGTCTGTTTTTCCGCCTGACCTGGAAGGTTTTATAGTCTTTGGGAGGCAGTGGCATGCTGCAAGATGCCTTTCTCATTTTGCAGTGACAAATGGCTGTCTGAGCCATCTGTGTGGCGTCATTGGAGACAGTGTGAGTCAGTGGCTGCTTCTGTGAAGTCCCCGGGGGCTGGCTGGCTGTGATGGAGGTGGGGAGCCGCCCGTCCAGATCTCACAGAGCCCCTTGTCTGCCCTGCTGTCCTCATCTGCCCGAGGCCAGCTCATGGGCTCTCTGGTTGACTGAGGAGAATGGACAGGGTACCCTCTGGCCAGAGGGGAGGGGTTTGTCACTCGGGCTTTTCTGATCTTGATGATGCTTGAATGTCCCCTTTTGGGAGAAGGAAAGGTAATTACAAGGGATCTTGGAGAAGGTGGGTCATCTTTAGCAAAGGAGCAGAGCTGACCAGGAGGGGGATACACCTAGAACCTTTGGCCTCTCTCCAGGCCCCTTTGATGGCAGGTCAGCTCTGCATTACAGGCCTCTGTACTGGGACCATCTCCTGCCAAGCTTGGGTCCCTGTGGTTCGGCTCCATAGCATCTGGACTTCCCCTCGCAGCAGCCCTTTCCCACTTTGTAACTGTGGATTTCCTTGTAAGGCATATCTCCTGAGTCTCAGAGCCCCACCAGAGAAGGAGGGGTTTGCCTTACTCCTCACCAGTGCCAGGAACACCAAACTGACACTTCCTTAACAGAAAGGTGAAATGAGTGAATGGATATTCATTTGCCATTATGGCAGCACCTTATTAAAGGTTTTAGTATTATCAAAGCAATATGTGCATTTATTAGAAAGCCCCACTAGTGCAGAATCAGAACAGGGCCGGTAGATTAAAATCAAGCCACCGACTCTGCCTTCTTGACACCTCTTTACCCTGCTCACTTTTAATGGTATGATTATTTCCTTTGCTGGTTCCCCTTGTCATCTTGTAGTGCACTTGATCCTCCTTTATATATTGCTCTTTGAACTCTCCATATCATCTTGCCCTCCCCCCAGATCAGCCGAAGCTGTGGGGAGGGTCCCTGAGGCCTTTTCTGCATTGTATCTCCAGTCCCCTGCCTTCACCTCCTGATCTTTTACAATTCTTATCATTTTCATTGTGTTTATGTGATCAGTAAATCTTATGTGTTTTTTTTGGGAAAAGTTAAAGGTAAAAACAACAAAAACCCATAAACCAGACTTTTATTGTTGTCACCATAGTTGTGGCCTCTGCAGAGCTGAGGAGTGTACCAGGATAGCAGCTTCTGTTTGAGTCCAGCATCACCATCCCAGGTCCTCCTAGCATCAAGGACATATAGATTATTTTCTTATGTAATAATCAGTTATAGAAAAATGAAACTCCATATTTTATGCTGTTTGGAGTATTTTTTTAATTAAAAAAACTTTTCATTAAACAAAAGCAGCAAAGGTACATTGTTGAAAATTAGGAAATATGGCCAGAGCTTGGGAAGGGTGCTAGGGAAGGAGGGATGGTGAGAGGATGATTGATGGATCCAGGGGTGGGATAAGAGGAGTAACTTCCAATGTTCTAAAGCACAGGGGGTAACAACAGCAATTAGTTGAATATTTCAAAATAGCTACTAGAGAGGATTTTGAGTGTCCCCAACACAAAGAAATGATATATATCTGAGGTCATAGATATGCCAATTACTCTGATCCGATCATCAGACACTGTATACATGGATTGAGATTTAAGGTCATACCCCATAAATACATAAATTATTGTTTCAATTAAATGTTAATTTAAAAGACATCCCTAACTGTCCTTGACACATTCATTTTCCATGTCTTATTCAGTTATTTTCATTATTTGCCCATGATATTGACTATATAAGTTAGCTTTCTATTGCTGCAGCAAAATACCTGAGATAATCAACTTATAAAGAGGAAAGATTTATTTTTGCTTATTGTTTCAGAGATTTCAGTTCTTGGTCACCTGGCCCCCATCACTTTGGGCCTGTGGCGAGGCAGAACATCATGGTGGATAGATGTGGTGAAGGAAAGCTGTTCCCCTCATGGCCAGAGGGCTGGGCCCGCAAGATCCCCTTCAGGGGCATCAACTTCCTCCAAGTAGGCCTCACTTCTTAAATGCTCCATCACCTCCCAAAGGCCACCATGCCGCAGTCCAGCTGCAACAAAATAGCCGGGGGGGTGACGAATAACTTGTGTACGTTGATACAGCGGGAGTAGGAGCCGTTTATTATAGGACAACAGAGGTATTTATACATTTTGTACAGCTTATCTTAATTAGCATAAACTAGATACATCAGTCAACCAATAAGGAAACTCCATACTTAATGGCTCGCTTTTGTTACTTCTCAAACCATTCCCTCTGGCATTTTGCCAGGCACCATCCAGACTTGTTTACGAACTCTAATATTTCTCTGGCAAAATACCAGGTGTTATTTTGACTTGTTTACAGACCTTAACACCACCAAGCCTTTAATATATAATCTTTGGGGACATTCAGATCCTAACTACTTACTGAAAAGGCTGGTTGTGCTGCAGGATGTCCTGCCTTCTGGATTTGTATAGTGGTTCCCTTTCGATGTCCTTAGCTAGTTCTTCTGTGCCCAAATGTCTTAGAAACTGAATGTTAGACCTAAAGCTTTACAAGTTTAAAATATTTGGTAGACTACATTCTAGGTGATGGTATTTCCTGTTGCACCACATTAGGACCCAAATAATATGGAGCTGACCTGCCATCGATGATGCTGGATTGACTGCTGTGTCACATTTCCTGCCTGGGACTGGAAAGTAACCTGCATGGTGTTATTTTGGTTCCACACAAATCAATGTGGCTTCTATATATATTTCCTGGAGTTCTATTTGCCTTCCCCATATCACTAAGAGTTTTAAGCTTCTTATTGATTTTACGTGTGGAAATGAGTCCATTCCATTCTGAGAGCCACATATCTAATTTCTGATTGCTTTCCAGGCTTGCCATCCTGCATGTCCTGGGCTTTTATTTAATTATACTTTGGGGCCAACTCTACTTTCTAAAAATATCCCTTTATATCATCTCATCCTCTTAATTGATTTGTTCTTTCTCTCTCCCTACCCTTTCCCTCTCTCTCCCCACCCTTTCCCTCTCTCTCCCCACCCTTTCCCTTTGTGCTGGGGTAAATTCTTAAATATCTTCCCCATTTCTGAATTTTTGAACTTCTGAAAAGGACTCTCTTTCTTTTGCATTTGATTAGTAAATTATTGGATTTAAAGTTCAATATATTTACATGCAGCTAAAGAAAAGGGAGTCAGTGAGGCAGAATAGATCCTGCACTTTTAAAAATAAATTTAGTTGTAGATGGACACAATACCTTTTATTTATTTGCTTTTTATGTGGTGCTGAGAATTGAACCTAGGGCTCTACACGTGCTAGGTGAGCATCTACCACTGAGCCACAACTCCAGCCCGGGTCCTGCACTTTTGATCTTATTTTAGCTGTTTCAGTTTCTTATCTGTGAAATGGGGATGGTGATGTTTTCCAGGCAGGGATCCCCAGGGAGCTGGGTCTCTGAGATAAATAGGCAGAAAACATGCGGAGGCGTGCTCTTGGGATCAGCACGTGTGGCAGAGAGAAGAAGCAGGATGGGCCTGTATTGCAGTCCCAAACCCCCTCAGCTGATCCTGAAGGGAGCTTTGGAGCTGGAGCGACCCAGCAGAGATGTCCCTAGTTGAAGCAAAAAGCTGGGTCTTTGTTCCCTCCATTGAATCAAGGAGACCTCCAGAGAGGACTGGTTGGCCGCCAGCGTCCTCAGCAGCTGGGGGATGAGTGCGTTGGCCCTGCAGGGGGTGAGTTGGGCATTACAGCCAGTGTTCATGGCCATTCCCAGAGTCTGTAAGGAACAGGCCCCCAGTAAATGGCAGTCTAAAAAGAAGGGAGGCTGTGTTTGTTTTCTGAGATTTGTCTAGCTTCGTAGGCCTGTTGTAAACATTGGGAGATACAGTTAGCCTGCATATCCGTGGGTTCTAACCATCCACAGGTTCAACCAGATGCAATAGGGAAAAAAATCCAGAAGCTTTCAGAAAGCAAGACTCAGATTTGCCATTCACTGAGCACCATTTGAATTCACATGAATTAAGTGATGTCTCTCACCCCTTCACAGATCCTCAGCTTCTCTCCAGCACTCGTTCCTGACCTTTGTGGTCAGGTCTGTACCTTTGCAAATGCTGTGTAAATAGTTGAAAAGTTTATGCACATCCTCTGTGAATGGCCAAAGCGTCTCTCGATTACTTATAATACCTAATACAATGTAAATGCTATGTAATAGCTGTTATACTGTATCCATTAGGGAATAATGACAAGAAAAAAGAGTCTGTACAGGTTCAGAATAGACACAACTATATAGGCCTAACTGCAGAGTAGGCGAAAAGCAAATACTACACCATTTCACTTAAGGGACCCAGAATCTGTGGGGATTCCAGGCCATGCCCCCTCAGATACCACCTTTTGAGGGGAATCAGGCAACCTGCCTAAGGGTGGCTTTGAGGTGGGCAGTGTGGCCAAGGCAGCATCTCTTTGTTTATGTCACAGACACTCACAGAGCGCTGGCGAGTGCCTGGCACTGCCCTCGGTACATAGAAAATGCAACGCTGAATTCTCACAACACCCTATGAGAGGAGCACATTGTCATCCCCACTTCACAGGCGAGGAAACGAGCACAGAGTGAGGAGCTCAGCCGCACAGCTGGGGAGGGGTGCAGTTGGAGTAGGAGCTCAGGGTCTGTCTCTGGACCAGTGCCCTTAGTGACTTACATGCCTGTGGATGTGGCATTGTGCACAGGGGTAGAAGATGACGATCTGTGTGAGTCTCACTTGGGGATGAGGCTAAGTGCAAGGACCAGACACCTAACACACTTGGGCACATTGCCGTGAGTTTGTTGTGAGGGCCCTGGGCATCCCCCAGAGCCAGTTGCTGGAGACACAGCGGGGTCTCTGGTCTTGCCTCTCTTGCCCTGCATATGCCCATTCTCCCCTTCATTGCTGCCTCGCTCCTCTTGTCTACCCCAGTCTCCTGCTTCTCTCTGTAGACCAGCTATTTCCACATCTGTACCTGTACACACAGGCCGAAAATGGCTGCAGTCCCCCTGATGTCTCCCACTGCCTGACCTGGGCTGCCCCAGGGACAGGTGGGTAGGGAGAAACAAGTGTTCTCTGCAGCCAGCTAGGCAGAGCCCTGGGAGGTGGCGCCTTAAGGTTAAAGTCCCACCCCCTCGCCATAGGGAATTTATTCCCCTTCCATGGGGGAGGAAACAGGCTCAGAGAGGCAGGGTGTGTCTGGCTGTAGAGGCTGGGCTTCTTCCACTGCCGACAGTGGCTTTGGGTTCTGGTCATGGGCCTTCCTGCCCAGGGCTGGTGTTGGAACAAGATGGGCAACTGCTGTTCTCCCCTCCAGGGATTTTCTTCTAGGCCACTCTGGGTAACTTGTCACTCCTGGGGCGTGGGGCTCCCCCTCTGGTCCTGTGCAGCCACAGGCAGGCAGAGTGTGGTGGATCTTCCTGGAAGGGTCCAGTCTGGGCTGGAGGTCACTGACTTGCTACTTTCTTTTTCTCCCCTGAAGCCGAGTGTTCAAGACAGACATGGAGCTGGAAGTTTTGCGCTACACCAATCGAATCTCCAGCGAGGCCCACCGGGAGGTGAGTTAGGTGGTTGAGCAGGCTGCACTGCTGTGTGTGCGCTTAGAAAACCACGTGGAAGCTCACAGCCCCCACTCTAGTCCCTGAGGACCTGTGACAGGCAGGAAGTTTTGCACAGAATGATTCTTTTCCCTAGTGGGCAGAGCCCAGTGACAGGAGAGGTTCTGCCCTGGCTCCTCCCATTAAGGCGGCCACCTTGGTGAGAGGGAACGCTAGTCCTCAGGGAGTTTTGCAAAAAAATTCCCAACTATGGGAGGGTAGAGCTGCCCTTCCTGGCATCTTGGCACTTCCCGGCTTCTTTCTTTTGTTCTTAACAAGATTCCAGCACATTTATTACCATTGCCCACTTTCTGAAAACATCTTCATATGGTTGTTTTTCACACTTCCCAATTGATAGAGAAACAAGACCAAATAAGGAAGTGCATCTTTTGAAGGATGTTCAGGGTGCTGGGCCAGCCCAGGGCCTGCTTAGTGTCGCAGCTTCATGTTCGGAAAAAAGCAGGGTGATTGATGGACTGCGTGATCTCTTGTACAGGCGATTTTCTCCATTTTATGAAAGTCAAGCAAAGGAAACCTTTCAGAGATCATCTTCATAGTCTTCTCGGCATTAGGAATTCACCAAACACACCTCAGCCAAACCTT